CTAACAATGACTGATTGATGATTTCAAATGTGTTAAAACACAAAACCTCCAAAACTCTGCCCGAAAAAATAAAATTATTGCAATGAAATTAGAAATTTCAAATTATGAGGTCATTAAGATTGACAGCTAGAACAATAATCGTAATATGTATGTGTGAGTTTGTAATTTTATTGTTTATGTGATTTAATTTGATTTTGGTTATTACAATGTAGTATTTAAGTTATTAAATTTAAAGGTTTATGGTTTAGAATTTTATTGACTTTTTATATTCAGTAGATTATTATTTTCCAATTTATTGCTTCATATATTCGTTACAATTTAAAAAAAAGGGTCAACTCAGAAAGCAAGTACAAATTCATGTAACATTTCAGTTCACATACTGATTATATCACGATTGCAATTGATATAAAGTTGTAGAAATAAAATCCAACGCGGAGAGATTTGAATCTACAGTTTAAAGGTTAAAAGTCATCAACCCTAACTCCCCTCTAATCAATCATCATTTTATTAAAAGCGGAAATAATTGAATACACTCTTAAGTGCTTGTTTGTTGCTTCAACAATGCTTTTTGAAGATTTCACCACTGAATTATCTTGTCAGTGGATCAAATAAATGTAATAGCACCTTAAAAATTATTGTATATTTTCACAATCAGACTGCTACAAAGCAATGCAAATTATTACTGCTACTTTTAAAACTATTCTTATGATTACCGTTGTTACTACTACTACCGCTACTAATACTACTACTGTGGTGCGCGCTACTTATAAGCAGTATGTGACGCGAGTATAAACGTAATGTCTGGCAGCAGAAGATGGGGGAAGATCAAGAAAAGAAGAGCGGGAACACAATGGGATTTGTATGAAACGCATGAACAGTGAAATGCCAGACAATGGATTGATGTTTTCAACAGGAACAGTCCTGTTCCATATGATCGATTGATATTTTTGCAAATTATTGATTTACGATATGATTTTCCTATTTTACCAATTAACTCTGTAATTTGAGATAAATAAAATTCGGTTGCCCTCACCTGTGTTCTCCTTCACTACACCACCACTACTACTACTACTACTACTATCATTACTACAACTCGAGTTGTAACCTTACAAACAATACTTTGACTTCTATCAATAAGGATAATATTAACATAAAGAATACCATATTTGGTTCAGAAAATCTCACTTTTTTTTAAAAACTTTTTATATCATACTAATTCAATAATTTTCTGAAAACATTTTTTCACATAAAAAATGTCTTCAATTCATTTATATTGGTATTAGTTAAATTCTAATTAAAAATAAATACCATTAATTATCTTGATAATCATGTAAAATTAATTAAAAAACTACATTTTGTCTATCCAATTATCATTTAGTTAATAACTAAATAAAGTCAAATTTTCTTAGATTGTGCAATATTACTGCATAGTACTTTTAGTTAATTATGTTTCTTACAAAACAGACAGAAAGATCAGGACAGGTTATAGACATTTATATATATATATAACTTTTGTTCATGTGGAATTTGTTTGATACTTTCCTGTGAATTGAAAAAAAAGGGATGAGGGAGCAGAAAAATTAAAAACACGAAAATTTTACACTTCACTGATAGAATTTATCAGGTTTTCAGTGAAGTTTTATTTCTTCACTTTTTTTTCCACTGAAATCAAGTGTACAATAGTGCAAGTTTAATTAAGTGTTAATTTGAAGCTGATGTTTTTGCTCTTCAAACCATCAAACAGAGTTTCTTTAAAAAAAAATTAGCAAATTTAAAAAGCATTGCTTCTTCTATGTGAATGTCTAGGCAGAAAAAACCGTTTTCATTTTTGAAGATTCAACATATTTTTATTTATGGTATCAAAGTTTTTGCATCATGGGCTGTGGGGATTGCTGAGTCACTTATTGAAATTATCAATCAATCATTGTTAGACCACCATTAGAGACCTGACAGCACTGGGGAGCTATATCGTCCTGGTATGGGACACATTATTAATGCATATCCACGACTCCTGCACCTCGCAGGATACGAACCCAGGGACTTTGGTTGTGCGCGCAAAGGCGTAACCTCTGGATCACTGTGGTGGCATCTATTGGTTTTAATGTCTAACACTGGTCAATCTAGAGATTTTGCGCGACAATATTCATTTGTCTCCGGTAGTCAGTGTCTTCTTTCACAGGGTTGAACTCCACTGGTCGCGTCTTCTCACTGGAAGGAACTCTGGGAATTTCCTCACGAAGCTAGTCACTGTTAAGCATACAGTACGACTTTTTGAATTGGAGTTAAATAGACCATTGTTTTTGCACGCTGAACTCATCAATCAGTGAATGTAAGCGGACTTTCACCCTGTCGAATCCACGTAGTAGCTGCCAAAGACAAACTGGTGAGGTCAAGCAAAATAAATCCCTAGATTGATTAGAGTAAAGCAATAACACGGTTGGATGCAATGATAAGATCTTCCAATTTTGAAGGATTTCTGGGTAATGTAAAACCTTTTGTGTTCATCATTATTCTACAAATATATCTAACAGCAGTTGTCTAAGGATAGAATATATATATATATATATATATATATATATATACATCAAAAAATCATTGCCATAAGGCAACGGTCACTTTGTTCTTAAACTAGATAGACAAAAGAATTTAACCTCATGATAGTTAATCAGATTCTTCTCTTTTTTTGCGCATATAACTCTTTTACTCCTTTAATAATTCGTTTCTTTTCTACTACTATTTATTCATTGGGGAAAAGCAGGAAGAGAGAGAGAGAGAGCAAGAGTAAGAGCGAACACAACTGTTAACTTATGAATAATTAATCAGGTTAGGCGAGAATACGCGCACACACACATACACACACGAAATTCCTATTGTCAATATCATTTGGAAAAAAAAGAGATAACTAATTTATTAAATTTACAGTATTTAATAATTCTGAAAAAAATTAGAGTCTCTGTGTTGCGAAAAGAAATAAACAAGAGCAATAATACACGATTCAAGGATAAGGTTCAAAATTCAGTTGAATATTTGTTTTGTTTTGTTTTAATTTTCATTAAGAATACATCTTGGAAAGCGGTAAAAATAAAGTGGTTATCTAAAGAAATTTATCGAATTCAATATTTTTTGTAGTGAGAAAAATATTTTTAGCGATAAAATGTTAAATATTATTAAAGAAGAATATTTCATAAACGGATTTATTGTATACCACCATTTGAATAAACTTTTATTGATGCAAAAGTTCTTTCCTTTGGGTAATAATAACAATAATAATAATAACAATGATAATAAGAATGGGATTGAGTAAATTTTCACTGATTAAGGTTAGAAAATAACAATTCTAATTTCTTAAAATTTATTTCTAATGTTATTTAATATGATTTAGAGTATGAAGTCACCTATTACTCATCATTGTGTCACTGAATCACCTTCTGTTTATATTGACTTAATTGAAATTGCATAACAATCATACGAAAACATTCGAATGGTAAAACAAAATTAAAATTACTGTCGATAACACTGTGATTTGTTCCGATATCATGGTCTACTGTGTGAGATATTGAAGCCATTGGTTCATCCATTTTTATTGGCATAAAAATGTCCTTGAGGTGTTTCTCATTATTTAATCGTCTTTCAGTTGATGTCATCTCTTGTGAATGAAATTACTATAAAAAAATCTATCTAAAATCCATCTCTCTACATAAATAAAATTAAGAAAGTTATTATTAGAACAGTAATATAAAGTGAATAAATACTGTTTTAATCATTTAGAATAAAGTGATATCAATTTGTCTAAATAACTCAGTTAGTATTTCAATGATGATTTAAAAATATCCGTTAAAAAGTTTTTATTTATAAAGAAACCCGAACTAAGTTATAACAACAACATACTGTATGTACAAAACGAAGTTTGATAATCAAACACATGCTTATAATGACCAAACTGGAAAAGTGATTTTTAATAATAGGAAAATGATTTACAATCTAATCATAAATATATGAAATAAGATTCCGCGTATTTGGACAAACTGATTGATTACAAATTGGTATTTTTTGAAACCATGAATCGAGCAATGTTAGACCACCATTAGAAACCTGGAAGCACTGGACGGCCGTTTCGTCCTGATATGGGACTCCTCAGCAGTGTGCATCCACGACTCCTGCACCTCGCATGATTTCAGTGTGCAACAAACACTAGTTTCCATAACTCTAGTTGAAAAATCACTATGGAACCTTTTAAATTTCTGATAATAACAAGTACCATGAATAGGTTCCGTTTATTTATTGGAAAAGTTTCAACTTTATCACTTGATTTCATTATATATATATATATGCACAGCTGTTCTATGTTTTGTCTCAGACACTACATATTTGTGCGATATTTGTCAGTAAATCGACGAGGAAAATAGAAAGTGTTATGTAAAAATGATTATTTCCCGCTGATATGTATTTGTATTTTGTTTATTTATTGCTGAAATGTAAACATAGAAATAGATTGTGCTAGGCAAAATGTTTTCATTTGTTTATTTCTACAAAAGATAAACTGAATGATATGGTCTACACCAGTGGGTTACATTTAAAACATAAATAAAATTCAAGTTTCATTTTTTAAGTGCTGTAAATTGCAGATGTTTTTTTTGTTAAATAATAACAACCAGAATACGGCGTTTTTATCCAGGATTGTTTAACCTACCGGAATTGATTAGGTAAAGATTCATCAACAGTCTAGCTGCCTACAAATAGATCAGACGTAAAACCTCTACCATCTGGCTGTTGAGTTAAAATTCATACTTTTTACAGGTTCTTAGCTAACAAACATTTGCTGACGAATATCGCAATTTTTAAGGAAAAAAACTTTATTATATTTCAAAGTTTTCATAGAACCACTTCATTTGAATACTATTCTTGCACTGGTTAACTATCATTCAAGTGCCTTTTTTCTTGAAATAATCATAACTGTGTATAGTTGTTGAATATTTTTTTACTTTATTTTTATATTTCAGAAGAAGATCGTCATATGTCTGGCGCAGTTGTAGTTGAAATTGAAAAACCTGCGAATGAAGATTTAGGAATTAGTCTGGCACCATGTCATGAAGTGAAAACTGGTCAAAATGCATTTTTCATTGATAATATCAGACAAGGAAGTATAGCAGATAGGTAAATTGATAAAGTAAACTTGTGTTATTCTTACACCAAAGTTCATTGATTCTCAAATTGATTAATGTAATTACGTAGATTAATTAACATGACAAGTCTGTTCAATTATCAATTTTTTTTCAGTCAGTCATTTGAAGTTTATTCTCTTGTCTTATACATTTTTGCAGGTACAACAGCAGTGTATTGTTTTATCCTCTCTCTCTCTCTCTCCTTTTCAGTCTTTATTTTACTCTGCTTCCTAACATTTCTATCTTTTTCATCTTAAGTATTTACACGTTGTTTTTTTTTCGTATTAACATTTTCAATATATAAATAATAAAACGGATTGTTTAACAAGCATACACATTAGCTTGCATTCCAATGTTACAACAGTGAACAATAGTTTAGTGTAATACAATTTATCGATCTCATCAGTGATATTTATATGGTTCATATCCCTGTCAGTCTGTGTAACCTTTTTATAACAAAAGAAACATTACTATCAACTTATTGTACACTAAAATAGATATCATCATTTGACAAACACTATTCAAATAATAATTTGATTATCTATAAGCAGAATAAATATGTAAGCTAACGTTATGTACATGTAAGAAACTGATCAGTAGCCTTGTTTAATAAAACTATATAAGCTAATTAAAAAACAGAATTGTATGCGATTATAACATTTTGACAGATTTTAGTATATAGTTTGTATTCAGTAACAAAGGAAAAAAAAATAGTTTCATCTACATGATATGAAAATTGCACAATAGATCAGTTTGAAAAAAGAATCATTGTTACATAGATTTCAAATATTTTTGTGCTTTAAATGGTAAATATAAAACAACTAACTCATTATAACAGTATTATGGATGAGTATTTAACCAAATGGTTAAGTACGAACGTGTATATATCTTGCTGAGATTCACTTTACGTATCAGTACTGATGGTATTATTTTATTGTCAGAAACAAGAAGTGAAGATCGGTTTGAGTTTGCGACCCATTTGGTTTGAATTTAAGGACATTAGACACTTATTCACTATTGTGGTAGTGTTTCGTTCTCTAAGCTGGATGTTTTGGTTGTGAAGTTTTCATTGTTCTTCTGAACAACATCATCAGCAAAAAAATTCGGATAGAAGTGAAGTATTTGAATTTCGACAAAGGAAGGAAAACCACCAAATACCATCTACAAAATAAATTGCTCAGACTGTGAAAAACACTACATAGGACAAAGTGGACGTCCTCTTCAGCTTCGTTTACGTGAACACTAATTGGCAGTCAAACTCCATGACATTTCTGCGCTTATATCAATACATACGGACATTTGTGGACATATGTCGGATTGGAACAATGTGGAAATACTTGATAGGAAGAGGACAAGAAACACTAGAGAATTTTTAGAAGCTTGACACTCAAATGAATTACCTATCAACAAACACATTGACAGTGACACAGTTTATCAAGGCGACATAGGTTCAAAAAACAGATCAAAGGAGGATACAGTCAAAACAAAGGTACAAACAACGACGGGTTTCAGGTCAATAACAACCAAGCAACATCATGGTTTACAGAACAAGCTATGAGTCAAACGTGGAGAAATTCGAATAGTTCACTTCTATCTGAAGTTTGTGCTGATTATGTTGTACAGAAGAACAATGAAAGTTTCACAACCAAAACATCCAGCTCAGAGAACGAAACACCGTCACAATCATTTACCTGAGCTCCAAATTTTCTTCATTTATTCACTATATCTCTTACTAGTAATTAACAATAGAACACCAGAACTACCATCAATATTACTTGATGTTCTTCATCATATCTATAGTGTTATCAGTACAACTAAGATTTAAATGATTGATGATAACTTCCTTGTTTCATCCTAACTACTGGTTCCCTACAATCAACTGATTAAATTATCTCTTATCAAGTACACATGCATAAGTATATACCACTTTAAATAATACTTTGCTAATTCATTATATAAAGTCAACAATAGTATTGAAACATCCTTTTGAAAACGGTCCATTGAAATCAGTACATCATGAAAAACAAAATGATGAACCAATAATTGTCAAAAAACACAATTTGTTTATATAATCCCGAATAATTGTCGACTTAAATTAAGGGGAAGCTTCAATTCTGAAGAAACCTTTAAGATATCGGTTATTTATTTTGTTGTAGTTTAAGATTCATCGGGATTTAGGTACCTATAACTGCATATACGATAGAGCGTTCATACCTAAACGACAAGATGTCAGTGTTGTACTTGTTAGTTAAGATGAAATATATTCCTAATATTTTAAATTCCCACCACCTTGTAAAAAAGTTCGATCGTCTTTTATTGATTGTCATTAAGAAAACATTTTTTCCCTAATAACTTGATCATTTAACTTGTTATGCAATGATTACTAAAAGAACTTTGTCGAATTTCTCTTTACTAGTTAGCATATCATCCAGCTAGTTATTATTTAGCTTAGTCTGTAAAAAATTTCCATATTGTTTCGAAATTACTTCTGAAATAACAGAAAACTTGAATGTATTACGCGTCTGTTTCATTCTACTGTTCATCATTATTGAACTTTCATGAACTTCTATAATAATATTTAACTTCTGTACTAATCAGAACCAAAGTCATATATAAATATATATATATAAGGAAAAGTTGTTTATTTTGTCAACTAAAACAAATAAACAATGCAAATGTATTTCATATGATTACTACAAATCAAAAAGTAAAAGAGAAACAAACTTATGTCAACAAGTACAATTGAGTCATTTATTGATTTCCATTGAGCAGACAAAACAAAAGTAATGCTATTGTTTAGTTGTATACAACAAAAAGTAGGATTAAGTTATTTCCTTTTTTGTTTATAGTAACAACTAACAATCTAATGATTCTTATGGAAGTGTGAGAAAACAACTAATTTGTTGCATTCTACTTTAACTAATCAGGGATAATGAATCTAATTTATTCTTGATCAAATCTATAAACTTTGAAAGATTTTTCTGTTTTACCAAACTAACGATGGTTATAAAAATATATTTATAAATGTATAAAGAAAGATTGTTTCTTGTTTTTTTTTTTTTGTTGTATGCGAAATGGATGTTCCCGCCTAAAAACTAGTCACCCAATCATGGGACAACCGAGTAAGTAATGCTGTTGTTAGGAAACGGGTTCTAGGTAAGGGTGGCAGGTCATTAGATGAAGTAGTGAAACTTCATCAGTTGAGGTGGTTGGGACATGTGCTACATGTGCTACCACCGACTACTTCGACGAGTTATGTTTTCTGGTGTAGCAGTAGGTTGAGAGAGAAATAGGGGCGGCCAGACCAAGATGGCAGAAATCCATGAAGTCACTGACAAGTGGATTGAGTCATGTTGGTAGGTGTGGACTACCTGGTTGGGGTCCGCGAGACGAGTCACCGATGGTTAGAGACCATGAGTGACATGGCTCAAAATCGTTTGCAGTGGCGCAGGTGCATCCACTCTTTGTGTTCTTTCCAATTCTAATCTTCAGAATTCCTTATCATCCCTATCTTAGTCTTTCTAACGTTATCTCACTGAACTATACTTCTTGATTCATATCTTCGATCCCTAATATTCTCCATTACTGCTAATACTTCTAATATCTCCACCACTATGGGATTTGAACTGGTAATGATGTTTCTGTACTAATGCAGTACGGCAACCTGGATTGATGTATGTACGTACGAAGTTCTACATTGCAATTGATTGACTGACTAACCCAATCATGTTTCAATGTAAATCTTTTTATCTTGTACAATAACTTTGGTTAACACTAAGTTTTTTTTTCATTTAAATTTTATTGTGTTTCTTAATACTTTTACTAGGTTACAAGTTCATATGTGATTAGAAATTAACTCGAAGTAAACAGAAATTCGGAATGATAATAATAATGATTGTTGATAGAATTTAAAATGAATTATGAAATAAATTGTCAATGTAACATGTGTCTATGACATTTTCAATTATTATTTCTAGTCTGTCTGTTCATCAAGCATATTAGATTACAATGAAAGTTTAATATCAGTTATTAGTAAGAGATTACAATCTACTAGTTTCATGCGTATTTTGGCAATGAAAAGAACCTCCTAAGACAACAGGTAGAGAATACTTTATTTTCAGAAAGAATTTCTATTGTAAATAGTATGAACTTGACGTTGTTCTGTTTACATAATTATTACAATTACATAATAATTACATCATTTTGAAATGATTATCATAGAAGGTCTGTTAAAAACGATTTAGTATGATGCTTTTCCAACTCATCAGTAAAATGATTTCGTAAAAAAATCATAGTTTTCAATCGTATAAGAAGTGATACGCTAATAGTCGAAGAGATCAGACAGCAGTTACACAGTACTCAAACATCATAGACATTAGGTCATTCTCATTATTACAAAACTAACATGTCGGTTACGTTAGATCACCGGAACTAACTTGAAAAAAGTCCTGATTTTGGATTTCTTATGTTTTCGCGCATAAATAGCTTAGTTGACCTTCAGCTCATATTTTCCACTCGCAAAATCCTTGACTGTCATTGGTTGATGGATTATTTTAGTACGTTATTTTTGTGGCTCTCTCAAGGACGTTTCTGTCATGTATAAATAAGCTCGATTTGTGTGCTTGTGGACATCGTATTTTATGGGTGTGTGTGGAATACACTTTCTACACCTTATCAAGACTTCTTGATCTTGTCAGCATGGTCTGGGACAAACGGATTAGAATAGCGTATCGTGTCATTGCATCATTTCTCTTCGCTCCGTTTACCGAATAAGGTGAACTCGTAATAGTTTCAACTATATTAATTGACTAGCATATAAATTAACCAGTTTAACTAAGACGTCTAGCATAATAAGCGAACAATAAATGTTGATTGAATTTTATATTGATTTGATTAATCAAGAAACAGAGAATTGTAAAATGATTTTCAACGTTTTATTGAATGTATATGTGATAAGAGAACTGAATTCATTTTAAACGTAAACCATTTATTTGTGAAAATAAACTGTACCTAGTTAATCCGTTCTTCTATTATATGTCTGAAAATTTTCATATTTTTGTCATACATAGAAAGTCACTTGACTTGAAACACACTGCTTCAATTTAAAATCTTCAGTCCAATGTAAATTTGAGATGCTATTACTTTTGCTACAAAACTCCAGTCGCCAATTGTTATATTCCTACTTACTAACTTACTTACGCCTATTAACCCCAATGGAGCATAGGTCGCCGACCAGTGTTCTTCAGCCTACTCTGACCTGGGCTTCCCGTCCTAGTTCTGTCCAATTTTTGTTCATTCTTCTCATCTCTTTCTCTATTTCTCGGCGTAATGTGTTTCTTGGCCTTCCTGTTTTCGTTTAGCTGTGAGGATTCCAAGTAAGGTCTTGTCTTGTGACGCAGTAGGGTGCTTTCCTCAATGTGTGTCCTATCCAATTCCACCGCTTTTTCCTGACTTCCTCCTCTGTTAGAATCTAGTTTTTTTCTCTCCCACAGTAGGTTGTTGCTGATGGTGTCTGGCCAACAGATCCGAAGTATTTTGAGTTAGACATCTGTTAATAAATGCTTGTATCTTCTGGATGATGGCTTTTGTAGTTCTGCTAGTTTCCTCCCCATACAGTAGAACTGTCTAGACATTTGTATTTAAAATTCCGATTTCTGTGTTAGTTGATAGTTGTTCGGAGTTCCAGATGTTGTTCAACTGTAGAAATCCATCCCTTGCTTTGCCGATTAGCGCCTTTACATCTGCATCAGATCCACCTTGCTCGTCGATAGAAGAGTTAGATCATCTTCATCTGCGAAGTCCAGATGGTCCAGCTACACACTTGCTCAGACCGCCTTTCTTTGGTATTTTGATCAGGCACCCTTCTTTCCAGTCTGTCGGTACTTGTTATTCATCCCAAATCTTGTCGAAGAAAATGTGAAATATTTTAGCAGTTACTGACACGCCTGCTTTCATTGCCTCTGATGGAATGTTGCCTGGTCCCGCTGCCTTGCCACTATTGATTTGTCTGATGTCCATACTGATTTCTTCAACTGTTGGTGGGCCAACATCGATTCGGATATCTGTGGATGCTGCTGCTTCGATGTTGGGTGGGTTCAGTAGAGCTGGTCGATTCAAGAGTTACTTAAAGTGCTCCACCCACTAATCTCGCTGTTCTTCAGTGTTGCTGATTACTTTGAATTCTTTGCTTTTCACTGGTCATTCTGGTTTACGATAGTTTCCGGCGAGCTTGTTTGTTGTATCGTACTATTGTCTCATGTTTCCTTCTCCAACAGATTTTTCCTCTGTCATCGCTAGATCTTCCACATATGTACGTTTGTCGGTTCTGATGCTCCATTTCACTTGCTTCTTTGCTTCTGTATATTCAGCTTGTGCGTTGGATTTCTCTGCTCTTGTTTGGCTGATGTTGATTGCTGCCTTCTTGTTCCTCCTTTCTTCTAGGCCGTATTAAACTTTTGTGATGGCGACAAAAATCTAGTTTCCTAATCAAAGAACTACAATAACGCATAGAATAATATTCCATAAATTAGTTCTGGAAACGACTTCTCCTTCAATATCGGTTCCAATAATAACAACACTCAGCTATTCTTCCATGCCTAACACTTTGTGACAATATAGGTGTTCCGAATTTTGTATTAAAAAAAAAAAAATTGAACATTGCATACCAAAAGTAACGTATGACAATGATAAATTAAAGAGATTAAACGTTTAATGCATTTTCTTTTTATTTGTAAAAACACCCACATGAAAAACCGATAATCAAGTTTTGTAACTTGTCTTGTTTTCAAATGATTTTCTGTTTATTTCCTATTCGCGTATACTACTGCCTATTCAATACAATCATTCATAGTTTATTTATGTATGTTTAACAAGAAACATGACTATTCACATGATCCCAATTGAAATGAACGTGAAAAAGGGTTACGTTTTTGTAATATGGAAGAGTGGCATACAAATTTAAACGGTTTTCTTATGGCCTTCTTTCCGATGGAAAGAAAGAATAGTTAAAATCATATGATAATGAATTATTGAGGTTTAAACGTGAAATTTTTGTCAATTTGCCTATTTAACCTTTTAAAGTTTGTTCGGTTAGAATTCTTGTCACTAATTTTATATATATATATATAAGACAGTTAGGTGTGAAAATCGATTTTTGTTAGTAGAAATATGCACACGAAAACTTGTTTTACAAACATCTTAATATAATCAGACAAATGCGCATTCTGTTAGTGTTTGTTAGAGTATTTTGCTTTCATAATGTTTGTACATTTTTATGGTATATTTATTTGAAAATTGACGCCAGCTACAAAACCACTGAATATTAACTTTAGTACACAACTCATTAAGCTTATATCCATGGGGTTTGGCACAAAAATTTCAAGTTTAATTATACCATCGATCATAAACCAATGCTATTAGAAGGAAGCTAATTCAGTCGGTACTTAGTGAACTGTATAATTTGAAAATATTGACAATGAAACGTTAACTCAGCAATCTAAAGGTTTCATGGTGAGAGGCAGCCATATTCACTTACATACGGAGTGATTGTTGTGATCAAACACTTGAACTGATAAATACTTATTAGGCATTAAGCTATTCAGCTGACATATAAGAAATTCTTTACAAAGCCAACTAAAAGCAATATCTTTCTAGCTTTAAATAGAATAATGTGGTCTAACTAACGTCAATATCGAAATAAATTTCATTACAGTAATCATCCTACTTAGCATTGACGAACCTAATAAGTGTGAAGTATGATACATCGCAAAAAATTTTAGTACTTATTTCGATTTTGGGGCTAAGTAATCAAAATCTCAAAACTATCTAGTTACAAAACCTTCATAATATTACTATCAAGTTTTTTTATTGGAGGGTTGTTTAAACTTAATAAATATTTATATAAATTACACATTGAAAAGTCTACGACTTATCATTATCCTAAATACAATAAAACCAAAAAAGGATACATCATACTAGCTGGAATATGTTCTGTATTACATATATTTTGGAGAGAAAACTTGAGATTCATATTTTAAATTTTTAATAGAAATTAGAAAAAGGGAAAATCTTTTACTATTGAAGAAGAATGACAGATAAACATTATTAGAATATATTGTAACATATATTTTTGAATAGTTACGAATAAAGTCAAAATGACATTTATAGCAATATTGCACGTTTTATGTTTAAAATATTTTTAATCTAACCATATTTATGATAGCGAATATTTACTATCAACTAGCATATTGCTCATATCATGATAAAATCAAGTATACTTGTGAGAACCATGTATACAAAAGTACATTATGTATTGTGTGAGTGAAATTTAGTATTAGTACATGTAGTTTGTGAAGATTATTAATCATAACTAGGTAATCTTTACAAGCCAGAAATTACTGGATAATTGTTCTGTCAATAGGAGTGTAAGATGGATGATTAGATTCGTGAGTTGGTTGAAGCTGGATATTTAAACCGCTGGTTTCTAGACCAGTGGTTTTATTAGGGATCAGGCGGTCGGTGAAAGATCTGAAGGGCCAAAGTTTGACCATCAGTGGTGTAGTGTTTCAACAATTCTTTCCAATCTCATGTTAAGTTGAAACATCTGGAGAGTGCTTCTTGATTCTTAAGAATCATTTTAGTAAGGTTAGTTAGTCCTTGATGTAAACTATGAAATCTAATAGTTAACACCAATAACACCGCATCATCATTTTAGCTAAATTTGTTGCTCAGTCTGAAAGATTTATTTTGTTTTTATAGATGCGGAGCGCTATTTCAAGGTGATCGAGTTGAATCAATTGATAATATATGCGTAGAAAATATGAAACTTCAAGAAGCAATGTATCGATTAAAAAATAATGGTTTAAATGTGATACGTTTACAAATTGTTCCGAATGCTATCATGAATTCCGATAAATCAGTACAAAATAATTCAGGTAAATAAATGCACCATAACCAGTTTGTTATTTATTCCTCGCACACGCAGACACACACTGTTGTTTCCCTTGTTCCTTTATCTTCTTCATTTTCAAAATTGATCGGCTGATGATTGTAAATTTAAAATGCAAGTACATTTTACTTTTTCTTTGAAACTAAAAGTGGAAACAAAAATACACACTTCAGTTAATATTCAGTTTGTTGCTAAAATGTAGAAAACAAATGTATAAAATAGATTGATTGAGTAGGTTGACTTTACCAGTTAAAAAATTATTATCAGAACTCTATCAACATGAGTAATATTTTTAAAAAATATACTTTGTTTAAATATTCATTCAAATTTTGTTAACAACTGTAGCAAATAGTGAAAATAAGTAGAAAAAGTAGGTTATATAATTAATTTGAACACATGAACCTGAAGTAATAGAAATGAGAGTAAAATGAAAGCATCATTAAAATGTAGATATCCTCTTAAAGATAGCATTTTTTCACTTCAGATTATCATCATCTATTGAAACAAACCATTTCGCTAGAATCTCTTATCCTCGCTTGCAATCAGTCTCTTTGATGAATGTTTACACAATTAGAATATGCATTACGGGGTTGTGAAGATTGTTAAGTTACACATTTTTGAAACCATCAGTCGACCAATTTTAGACCATCATTAGAAACCTGGAAGCACTGGAAGGCCGTTTTGTCCTAGTATGGCACTCATCAACAGTGCGCATCCATGACTCCTGCACCCCGCAGGATTCGAACCCAGGACCTTCGGTATTGTGCGCGAACGCCTAACCTCTGGAGCACTGAGCCGGTATATAACGGTGTTAATGTCTAACTTGATCTATTCAAATGTGTAACCTAACAATCTTCACAACCCCGTAATGCAAATTACCTGTGCTCACTATTGACTAGCTCCAGGAGGAATCTTCTCCGAGTTCTAGTGGGAAGACGTGACCAGTGAAGTTCAACCTGTTCGGGTGTAGACAGTAACTACCGAAGACTGTGCATAAGGTTGCGCAACTCCGTGAATTGGTTGAAGTTAGACATTTACACCGTTAGATACCGGCTCAATGGTCCAGAGGTTAGGCGTTCGCGCACAATACCGAAGGTCCCGGATTCGAATCCTGCGGGTTGCAAGAGTCGTGGATGCGCACTGTTGATGAGCGCCATACCAGGACGAAACGGCCTTCCAGTGCTTGCAGGTTTCTACAGGTGGTCTAACAATGATCGATTCATGTTTTCAAAAATGTGTAACGATTAGAATAACATAAAATTCGTTGGATAAACTGAATGCACAATGAAACATTCTACATATACGCATGAAATCGGAAAAAGCAATAAACTATTTTAGAAGTTAGTCATCAAAGTAATTACAATCTGCTATTACGATCGTTTTATGATTGCGCTTATTTTTTTCAATAATTACAATCAATTTTATGATAACAATTTGAACAGGAATCTTGTACTTGATTATGTCATCGTTTCTGTTTATTTTTCTCACTGAATTAATCTGTCTAGCAAATGAACTTACAACAAACACATTGAAGGCAATATGATAATTATTCTTTGTACTGATAGTGAACATTTTTAAAGGATTCGATTGATTTCTATGAATCATTGTGTAATGTAGGATAATGGAGGTGTGAACGAAATGAACTGAAATGAATTTACATTTTATTTTTACAAAGTTTATTGTTCTTGTTACGCAAAAGATTATGTTTTTATCATCAGCTCTAAAGATACTACTGCTGATTACGTTTAAATTATCCCCATAGGATAAAATATTTAAAAAACTAGCATTAAAAGCCTTCTTTTTTCGGTAGTTTCCTCTCAGTTTATGATTTACGGATTTGCATACACGTAGTGGCTGATCGATATATTATTTTTTATAACTACTGATATTAAATAATGAAGTTATATTAAGCGATAATGCCCTCGTGTATTCCATGAAACATATCAAGTTCAATTTACATTCTAAGCATTGATATTTATCATATAGTTTCCACTGTTTAACAAGGGATCAATAAACAGAAATATGAGAAATGGATTTTCTCTTTTTTTTACTGGCAGTTGTCCGAAATGCAAAATTTGCCAATGCGCATTCATCAGGGAAATATTCATTCACCAATAGATTACAACATTGTGAACAGTTAAAAAAAGAAATATCATGAAATGTCTTCTTTAAAAAAAAGTGAAGTTCATTCAGTATTAAATCAAACTGTTATGTTGTGTAATAGGATCAGTGGTATTTCGCGTGTCCTTACACATATTTTCGTATTTAAAAAAAGACAAATATATAGTTAAAATGATTTAGGCGTTCATAGGCATATGTTAGTTATCCAGATAACAGATTACAATATCTACATTTGTGACTGCCTTTACGTAGCGGATTAAATATCAAGTAGTATCGTTGAAACTCACTAAAATTATTGTTTGTGTTACTAGTTCAAAGTTGAAAGTTATACAAAAGTCATTGGATCGTAACATAGTGGGGACACTAACGACTAGTAGCAGTAATACACTCTGCCACATGTAAAATTTATTCACACATTCATAAAGAAATAAAAACTGTCCAAATTTAAACAAATCACTCTAGTATGTAGTACTCAGTATTTGTAAGCAATATCAGTACTTGATAAAAAACATATTAATTAGCAAAGCTACTCATCTAATTCTATCCTGAACGTAGTTTAATTTTTGGACAAGGAGCAAAGTTAAGTTGAACAAATGTTATAATTTTCTCCCAGAGTGTATGCACAAATCGACTAATTACAAGCACATATGTATATATTCTTTATTTTCCTAGAATGCTTAAAATCCATGAGATCTTTAAGATCAACAACTCCACTGAGTAGTAGTACACCAACAGCAGCTTGTCGATGTGAAGAAGTTGAAGTACTGCTTGAACCATATGAATACATCGGCTATGGATTTACATTGATAGCTCCAATAACAAATCAATTCTCTTTGGAATTGACCAGTTTTCCTTTGATCGATCAAGTGGATCTACGTGGACCAGCATTTAAGTAAGTGAATGTCTAGTTAATGTGAAATTATTAATGTTTCTAATTATTTTTCTTTTGAATCATTTTAACGATTAATCAATGAATTGTTTTTTTATTTTTTTCTGTTAAAGTTTGATTTTTACAAATATATGTAGGTAGTATAAAGTGTTTTGTTAAAGTGATCCACGTTGATGATTAGTGATTAAAGATATAGATTGCAGGAAAGATATAAGTTTCCGCGATCTTGGTAAATGACAACTGAACAGTTTAAAGTTGGAGATTTTAATCTTTGGATACTAACTCTAAACTCTGTTGTCAACAGCCTGCAATTACACATTTCTGATGGGTTTTACGTTAGTACAAGACGGCTATTTAGTCCTGTATACTCTTCAATGGTACTTTGGCTAAGATGAGTGGTAACGTTTATTCTCTACACACGATGATTTTTATTAACCTCCTATCCTATAATAAAGCATAAAAATGAGTTGAAAAACCCAACGTTGTTATGAATTAGGTCTATAAATGGAATCTTAATATTCGTCAGGAAAAAGTTCTTAGAATGACGAATCAATATTACAGATGTAGTGTGAAAAGTTATATTTAGTTATACAATAAAGTAACATTATTTTTGCTGCTTAAAAAATATAATTCATTCACATTTTTCTTTCGAAAAAATTAATGATAGTAGATCATTGTTGAAATAAATTACTTTCTCCACATCCTAACTGTTCAGATATGTAATGATTAAGTAAAGTACGCATCCCTAGAGAATATTATTTTGATGATAAAATAAGTAATGACCTGATCTTAAAATTTGTTGTACAATCTCAGTATATTTAGACAAGCAAGATTTATTGATGACAAATTTATAGAACGTTGAGAATCATTTTTTGTCAACTTTTCCGAAATTTCGAAATAGTACTTTACTACTTGTTACATGGAGTAATGAATAAGAGATAGATATGACCCAACTATCATAGCTGGATTCTAATAACTTGGAAGAACTACATATATATGTATATATATATCACGCATTGTTTCAAAAATGTCCCCTTAGTAATGAAAATACTTCTTAAACTTTTGTAACATATTTCAAATTATTTCTGTATATAAGGTCTTTTTCGATTATGACAAATAGTATAGAACAATTAGTTTTTAAATACTTATGAAAGTACGATTATTTCTTAAAATGAAAATAGCTTTATTGCGTGTTAGGATTCGAGTGTAATTTTATTTACATAACACAGACTATATGATTTAATATAAACTACCAATTATATCAAAGCGATTACTTATTTTTGTCGTAGAGTTAGTTATTCCATATTTCAGTGCAGTTGTTTGATATCAATTGGCTAGAAATTATTAACAGAAGGCCTGTGAACCGAGACTTCATGCTGGTTGATACTTTTCAGCAAATGGTACCTGAAATCTTGAGTTGGCTGAATCACTTTAAGACCTCAGATTTTGTCATGTTGGTTAGTAAGAAGTAAAACTAAATCTAAAGATTTACATTTTTAATTGTCTTTCAATGAACTCTACCAACTAAACTTTTTTTTGAAAATATTAATCTATGAACTAATGATAATTGCAAACTAAAAAGAGATATTCAATGAAACAACAATAAAGTCGTTTTAGTAGATACTGGTAATTACTTACTTCCGGTGAATAAATACATAGGTTGTCTTTTAATAAATAATACCAATTATTACGAAAATTTTTTATCGGTATTTCAAAATATTCACAAAATATTACATCAGTGTACTAATTGTAAGATATGTTTCCATAAGATCCGACTTTTATCCATTTGAAATATGTTAACAAGTAGATGTCACTTCTGTGACTAAGTGCTCATCACATGCTCTCAGTGAGTTGAATTCGATTGGCCGATTGGATCCTGGGTGAATAGTGCTGTAAAGTATTACACAAGGATAAAACAGCTACTGACATCGATTTGCACGGTAAAGCTAAGTGGAATATCACAAATTTATTCTATGGTAATCAATAGTTTTGAACACTATTGACTTGATAATGATGAAATAGGTTTCTTAGACTATATGAGATCATTGTTTTAAGGCATAACATTCAAAAACAATGAAATTCAAACTTTCTTTCACTTTTTTTTTATTAAATTCTGTCTTACTTTATAAATGACCAATTATTATTGATTATTTCTACGTCTTAAAAGAAAAATTTTTTTTTTATATTTCATTATGAATGAGAATAGATAATTTTTTTGTGATGCAACTCCTTCAGGGTAATTCTATTTAAACTATCTATAGTCTGAAACCTTTTTAAAACACATACAACCAAGTAATTCCAATCAAATTCGATTAAAATGAGGGAAAGCAGTGTGAACAGCCACACACATACACACAGACATATTTACAAACATACATATCTAGAAGTATACATTCGTTCGACAATAAAAGCTTAAAGCATGTTCGTTGAATAAGGTCTTACATAATTAATGAATTCAGTAAAAAGACAATATTGTCTAAGAAAGATAATTTGTTTTCTGTTTTACTGGAGAATAATTAAATTATACTAATCATTTGAGTGTACAGATGAATCATTGTTGAATAATTTATTTTATAGTGGATAGTTTTTTTGCTAGATTTCATATATATATGAATATATATTTACTCATGTTATTAACTTATCTATGAAATAAATTTTAAATGATTCTATTTTGTCGATAAATGTAAATGAGGTGCTGACAATCAGTACCGAAATAAAATAATTTATTGATTCAATGTTCAGGGAAATAGAGCGAATCGGTAGAGAAAGAAAATGGTCACTTTATGAGTGAATATTCATGATGGAGTAATAATTAAGAGACTAATGTTTAGCTCATTTTATTTTAGTCAATATTCCATTCACCTCTTGAAATAAATGCCTTCATATTTTAGAACGGTTATGTGAACATTGATCTGACAGAATTCAGTCATATGCATGACGAAAAACTTTATTTATTCGTAAACATCAATAATGAATGTTTATAATCAATATATGTACCGTGTTACTCGAGCAAGCAATATATTATTAATTAGTATTTTGTAAGGTATGTAAACATCTGTTTAATGGTCTGGTGACCACGCGGACAGAGTAGCCCTCCTATATGATATGCTGACGTTTGAAACGAAAGGTACTGGGTACTAGCCTAAGTTTGAGCACAAACACTGAGCTATAATCCAACTGTAATAGTTAATTAAGTCATCGAAACATAAATTTATTCTATTTTCATTAAGTGTTATGGAGATTGGTGTTTTTACACATTGAAATAATCAGCCAATCATTGTTAGACCACCATTAGAAACCTGGAAGCACCGAATGGCCATTTCGTCCCGGTATGGGATTCATCGTCAGCAGCGTGCATCCAAGACTCCTGTAGCTCACAGAATTCAAACCCAGGACCTTCGATCTTGCGCGTGAACACCTGACCTCTAGAAAACCGAGCTGGCATTCAACGGTGCTAATGTCTGACTCTGATCAATTTAGGGATTTCGTTTTCGGTAGTTACTGTCTATACCCAACAGGGTTGAACTCCAATGATCACGTCTTCTCACAAGAACTCCGAGAATTCCCTCACGAAGCTAGTCACTAGTGATCACAAATTCATTATACCATTTTTGGTTGTACTCGTATTATTCTGTATTTTGAATAATTCTATAGATTTAAATATATGTTTGGAATGATGCAATTTTGAAATTATGTCCAACATTCTGTTTAACTTCAACAAGGGAACAGATAGGCAAAAAAGTTCTATACAGTCTCTCAATTACAACAGTTTACTAGATTTTGCATTGAGAGATATAACAATACTTGTCATAAACGTGAATGTACCAATTTAATTTTTATGATTTTTAGATAATGAACATACGTTAGTATCCTTGATCAACAGTTCTCACTAGGTTCATAGCTATAAAGTAGTCTGTGAAAGTTAGAAATACGTGTAATTTTATTTTATTCGATTATTTATTTACTAAAAACGTTACCTGCTTGTATCGAAAAAACGTAAAATCATTAATGATGTAGGGTACCAATTCAAAATAACAAGTCAGTTGATGGGTCTGTGAATAATCGTATGATGAAATAATATAAATTCATATATTCATATATTTCACCTCAGTAAATCTCAATATGGTATCCTAAATAGAATATAGATAAATCTGTGAAAGCCTATGAAGATGGCTAGTTCACGATGGCATATTGATATTTTAACTCAGCTAGAAGAATGTTCCTATTACTTAAAATGACTTGTAAGCTAATTTTAGTGCATGACATCATTTTATATGAAGTTAATGGCAGCACTATAGGTAATATTCATCCCTTATTATTTTTTTGAAACCTGAATTTTAATACCACTTCATACTTTTCAGCCCGTGATTTCATTTCAGTTCACGCTTTCAATATTCACATTTCTTTAACCACTAAAACGCTTATCGTATTGGTTCATATTTTCACTTGTTGGGCTTATATAAATATATTAACTGTAACAAATCCAGTTTATCTACCTTAATATTAAAAAATCTCATGTGTTGTTTACTAACCGATTGATCAATTATCAACTAAGAAATTCTTCAATTTCTCTTTTTTAAAAAGCATTTTAATGTTCCTGTATCTTTTTTTTTTTGAAAAAAATATTCTTCCAGTTTCCTATTCATCATCAGTTTTAAAATTTTACGGGAAAAAGAATTTTTGAAAAATTTTCAAACTATAAATATTCATTATTCTAATCGACTGACAAATTTTTTTCGGCTCTTTTTTTTCTGCAGATTAATATTTTTTTATCATAGAAATATTTATTATGCCAAACGAGAGTAACGAAAAAGTAAAAGAGATTTTAATTAAAAAAAAGTATTTCTTTTTTAATGCGAAAATGTTTGTTTGTTTTCTTTCTTTGAAATAAATTATGATGATTATGATCGATTAGATGAGAAAACGTTTTATCGATTAGTTTTAATTAATTTCGACCTAATCTAAATGGATCCAATTCATAGATAATTAATTTCAACCATAAC